GGGGGGGGGGGGGGGGGGGGGGGGGGGGAAGAGGGGATGGTTCCACGCAAGCGGCAGATGTGCACACTCATACACACACCGTTTGCACAAGTGGAGCTGCATATATGGCCTGGTTCGAAACGGGAGGCGGCCTGCTTTAATAAATGTTAACACAAGCAGAGAATACAAGGCATCTGGTTTTCCAACAGTACATATGAAATAGAATTAAAGTCTTTGCTGATCATAATTTATGAGTTTTCAAACTAAATACATCTAGCAAAGGAAAAGTCCAGCACTGCTGGAGACGTTGTAGTGCTTCTTCAAACAGCTCCTTCTGCTAAAGGGATCAGAATCGGTAGCACTCTTACTCAAAAGATGGAATGGGTTTGTATTCTATATCCCCATGCAGGAATACAAAAATATTCTCATCACACTTGTGTAAGAAGCATTGCGATGCTTCCGGGTTGAAAGGATTAGCTGGTGTCATCACCATTGCCCCAAGAGATGCCCAGTTGGGGGCTCCTTTTATGTCCCCACAGGACCTGGAGTGAAGAACTGGAGCTCACTCCACCCCACAGCAGCACTCAGGTGTTGAACACAGGCTTGCCAACCTCCAATCCAGGGTCCTAACCACGTGACTCACTGAGCTCCTAGACCAGGGGTAGGCAACCTTGGCTCTTTTATGACTTGTGGACTTCATTTCCCAGAATTCCTGAGCCAGCATGGCTGGCTCAGGAATTCTGGGAGTTGAAGTCCACGAGTCATAAAAGAGCCAAGGTTGCCTACCCCTGTCCTAGACAGTAAAGGTTTAGACAGAGAAACAAATTGCCTGGATGGAATGGAATCATTTTTATTGGCGGTATCTAAGCAAGGCCAGGTGGACTATTTGCCGTGAATACTATCTTAATTATATACTCAAAAAACGATTTAAGTTCCTTTTATTTATTAAGATCTGTTAAAAAGCAAATAAAAGGAACCTGAATAGATTTTTGAGTCTCTCTATAAATGAGATTCTCTCTGTCAATCTCTTGTAAGTTTTCAGTGTTTCATCCCACTAACATAATCATTAAAATTAAACAGACTCAAAGAATTTGGCTGGACCTTTCTGAAACTTGAACTCCAGGACAGTGATTAGAAATCAGCTCTTGTTTAAACACGGAGCGATTCTGGGCTGGCAAAAGAAATTCCAAAGGTCTTGAAAAGCTGCTGACAGGCCAAAACAGTAGAATAATAAATGTGTCTGGACCATAAGATCTAGAGTGGCTCTTTTGAAGATGCTCCCACTTTTAGATAGTTCTCTCTCTCCCCCTCTCTCCCTCTCTCTCTCTCTCATACACACCATTTGCCTTGCCTTTAGAATAGCAGTTAAAATACATTGTTCAGTATTAATGATGTTATGATATGTAATCATAGACCTACCAAAAGATTAACAGATTCTATGACATCCAGGAAGACTTCATTCTTTCGGTACTTGATCCCTTCAGAACGCCAAGACACGGCATTTGTAACAGTGGCAGGAGGGCGTGGGGCTCCAGTTTCCAGCTTGTGGCCTTCTTGTGTTATGTATCTATAGCATCACAGGCAAGATGTTCAAAATGTGAGTATCTGCATATTTTAACCCTAGAGATTTATTTAAATTAGAATTACACCAATTAAATAAAAGACAGTTTTAGCCATCCTGAATTGGGATTATTAAATATACAGAAAATGCAAGTCTTTTAGCTCCAAGCCACATACTTACTCTTGTAAAATTTTACTGTCTGTGGTTTGGGGATATCCAAAGTCCATCAACTCATCTAGCAGTTCATAAATGATCACAAAATTATCCCGAATGCTCTCTTCTTCCAGTTCCTTGAAATATTCAGAAAAGACCTGAAATAAAAAGGTAAAAGAAAACAATGCAATATGCCCATACAGTAATATTCCAATTTCATTATCATTTTTAAAATAAAAGCTGTTAATGTAATCACAATGATTTCTCAATTTTCAAATGTCAACTACTACAAGGGTTGGGGGCAAAGGTGAATGCATTCAATGTATATTTTTCTACTCCAGTAATTTAATAATCAAATATTAAGACACTTTAGAGAATAAACCCCAAATGAAACCTCAGAATTTGAATAATAGAATCAATGCCACACTCACCTGAACTACCTTGTATAGAAATGAGAACACAAGAGATACACAGGCATTCTTCTTTGAAGTGGCAACCACTGGGATAGCATATTCAGGAGTTTATAAATATTCATATTTCCAAGCTATTCCTCTTTATATTTTAGATTTTACTAGCTTCTTTTTCAATGAACATCCTATTTAATTTCCTGCAAACTATTAAGTAACTTGTATCAAAAAATTTATTATCCTAACTTTAGAAAACCAGAAATGCAATGATTCAGAACTTCACTGATATCTTTCTAAGCAAAATCAATGAAAGTATTGTGTCTAGATTATGGGAAAGAGGCATACTCTATTCTTTTGGACAGACCAATACTATGCCCAATTCCAGGCTCTGTATTTTAAGAAAGGTATTAATAAATTGAAATGAGACTAAAGAAAGGAAAAAAATATTAAGAGGCTGGATCCAGATGGATACCAGGCTAAACATATGAAGCTGCATACGTTTAGCCTGAAGACAATTAAAACAATGTAAAAGCAGTCTTCGACTATCTAAAAGATTGTCACATAGGAAAATGTGTTTTTAAAGGAGAGGGTCAATGCTAATAAATTCAAAATACAGAGAAAATTTGACATTAATATGGATTTCCTGCTACTATGCTTCTCATTTATATTTGACTGGCCATTGAAAAGTCAGAGCTTATTGAAGACAGATCTTTAGAACTGCTTTTCATGTTCTCTTCATAACATGAAATGTTCAACAACAGAAGGAAGTTAAATTTGCTTCACTAGAACAGAAGTAAATGGATGACAATTTATCAAAGATGCAGCAGTAGGAAATTTTCTGCCTGAGTAGGATTTAGATTATTTTTGAAATTTCTTCCAATTCTGAAATTTAAAAGTTGGTGTAATTATTTTTCTTTTTCCTGACCAGATTTAGTGAATTCAGACCTGATCAGCTGCTCTCCACTATCATCTAGACCGCCACTTTTTAAAGCCTAAAAGCATTTCTTGGAGATAAATAATAAATAAGTAAAACGTTTATGAGAACAAAGTACAGATTAGCATGTGAATAAAGAGGGAAACTGGTTGCCTTTCTTTTGACTTAGTTATTAACTTGAGCCTTTTTTAAAATTAAGTTTGAAGTGGAAAGTTTGGCTAAAGAGATTCCTTAAAAATTGCTTTTTTCAGTATCTGGAATCCTAGATCAAGGCTGCAGCTCAATAACCCTTATTTTGGCAAAAGATACAGTATAAATTGTTGTGTTTAATCCACATGAAGCGAACACCTCCGTGAGCCAGAATAGGTGAGAGAGTCCCTTCTTCTTCCTTCTCCATAAGAATAGGCATAAAATGCTCTACCTCTGACATATCCACATCTCCACGGTAATTTCTACAGATAAGAACCTAAAACAGTAAGGACACTATTAGCAGTTTTTGAAACAGTAAAATTTATAAACGTTGCTTCAAACAAGTTTGTATGTGCTACAAAAGAAACCACTTTTCAGTAATATGTTACAGTACCAGAACCTCACTGATTCTTGATACTAACCAACCCTTAATTGGCCTCCTTGCTATTGGCCAAGTAGGAAGTGTAAGAGCTAGAAGCTCATTTAATTAGGCCATTAGTGATATGAATCTAAATTTAATCCCAAGGAGAAACAGATACTGTACCCTCCCAACAATTCCCTTTTACTCAAGAGCAAAATACAATTACATAAACAAGAATAATATTAAACAGATTCAACTTGTGACTTATTTCACCTTTCTTCCTCCTCTCAATCGTAGATCAATGATTCCTGACATTCAATGCTAGAGTGATTTAGTGAGGGAGAGAACAGAACAAGAAAGAAATGTGGACATATGGTGACTTTCTGTCATCGCTCCCTCTTTAATCCCTTCCCTGAATATTCTATTTAAAATCAGAATTACCTTTCCATGTTTCTCGCAAAGCAAAAACTTGACACCTTACTTAGCCTTTCCTATTTATAATACCCTTAACTGTTTTTTCTAATAAAATAAAGTAGCTACCTCTCTGAAAGCATTTATTTATTTACACTTTACAGCTGGTAGACTGCCCCTGCAGCTGGAAGTTTCGCAGAAGGCCCATCCCTCTCTACACACCTTGCCCTTGAGATCCAATACATAGACGGCGCTAGCCGACATGACGGCGGTCGTCCACCAGCCCGCACACGAGAAGCCCCGGTGCCCCCGAACCCAGCGCTTCTCGGTACGCCCAAAAGCCTCGCGAGCTCACATCCGCTTCACTTGCACTTCCGTTGTAAAATTGTGTGCCTAGAGCGGGTTGTGCCTAGAGCGGCATCCAGCCCACAAGAATGCTGTAATTGACCCAGAATGCTTATACCGCTAAAATTCCCTACAAGATATAACTCTATGATAACGAACGTACATCCGTCCAGCCAATGCTAGAGCCCGCCGGCCCGTGAGAACATATCAGCCAATGGCAGACCCCGCTGTCGTCAAGACCGTCAACTGACCAATGAGATTTTCAGTCCAATTTTTCCGGCTATAATCTAGGAAGGGAGGACACCTGATGACATTTCAGTCGCAGTAACCAATGAAATTCCATCGTTATGAAGATGGACAGCTTTGCTGGCCGGTAGCAAACCCCATAGAGCCGCCGGGTCGAAGAACATGGCGAAGACCTACGACTACCTCTTCAAGCTGCTGCTGATCGGCGATTCCGGCGTGGGCAAGACGTGCGCGCTCTTCCGCTTCAGCGAGGACGCCTTCAACGCCACTTTCATCTCCACAATCGGTGCGTCACCGCCTGGCAACGGGAGCATTCCCACCTACCGCCACTGTCGCTATGACAACTCCTTGCTCCCTCGCGACCTCAACCCCTTCCGGTCGGCGTTACTATGGAAACCGCCCCCTCCCCTCTCCTGTAGCTCCAGAGAGGGGCTCGGGTGCGAAGCGGGCCGCTGTTCAGACTTGGGAGCGGCGAGAGGCGGCGTCCCCTCTGAGACGTTGCGGAGATGAAGGAGGGAACGGGTGTCGTGTGGAATGAACTAGCAGGGTGATCTGGGTTCAAGTCCCCACACCAACGGCCCAAATTGTCTGAGTTCGGCTATCTCAGGGTGATTGTGAGGGTAGCTGAGATGGGAGAAAGACCCTCCGTCCTTGTAATTTGGCGAATGTAGTGAATTATTTTTAAAAGACTTGTTAATAAAAGTTGAAGCCATTTTTCCAGGCAGAAAATGAGTGAAAAGTTGTAATCTACCTTTGCTGGTTTTAGAGGAAGGAGAGAAAAGAAAGGAGAAAGGAATAGCAGTGAAAAACGAAACAAAACAAAAAACCAAAACAGCAGTGGGATTATGATAGATGTAATGCTAGATTAGATCAGAGAAATCCTGCTTTCAAATCTTCATTCACTAATCAATCTCTCATCCCAACCTATCACAGAATAGGTGACAACATAGTTAATTAAACTGGAATTTGCTGCTGTCAGATGAGGCTATGGCTTTATGCGATGACTGAAGAAATTTATGTGAGGGCTGTCAAGTGGTACTACTTTAGATGGCTTGGCAGCATCCCTTAACAGTGATTAAGCAGCAATACTGGAGCTCCTGTTTTTAACTTTTTGCAGATGAGATGTTGATCTACTACACCAGAGTTTCTCTTAATTTTCTATGATTATTTTGTGGACAAGTGGGTGAATGAGTCATTCTGAGAAAGGGTAATATACAAAGGTATATGAATAACTAAAAATCCAAAGAAACTGCATTGTCCATCATCCTCATCTGTAAAAAAGAACAATAAGATACTTTGATTCCTTAAAAAGTAACAAATGTCATAATATATTTCTAAATCTTCTTTTGTAGGTATTGATTTCAAAATCAGGACGATTGAACTTGATGGCAAGAAAATTAAGCTGCAAATATGGTAGGGGACATCTCAGAGGCTACCAATTTTGTTGTATCAAAATATAATATAGTCATCCTCAGCTTATAAATATGGTGAGCCTACAACACAGTTGAAGAGCACCAATACTGGGGGAAAGTGCTTCAAACCAAATGCCAATTTTAACCATTATTTTTACATATAATATCTTTGATTTCATATAAGCTCAATATATATTATTAGAAAGTAAAAAAGAAATAGCAGTAGAGTGATTTGAACCTGCCAAGAAAAAGGCAAAGGCAAATTAAAATAGTAAGTACCTCAAAGAATTGGAGCAATCTGATCCATTTGCCTTCTGATTGTTGTTTTTGGCTAGACATTGTTTCATAGTTGTCTCATCTTTATCATCAAATACTCATATTACAAATATTTTACTGTATACTTTCTGTTAACACTATGGATTAGACAAAACTGAACAATCAAAAGGAGTCCTGGATGAGCCAATCTGCTGTTTTACATAATAGGTAGTCCTTGACTTAACAACCACAATTGGGACCAGAATTTGAATTGCTAAGCAAGCCAGGTGTTAAATGAGTCATGCCTGATTTTATGACCTTTATGCCATGGTTGTTAAACAAATCACCATGGTTATTACATGGTTGATAAGTGAATCCAGCTTCTCCCACTTGACTTTGGTTGTCAGAAGCTAGCTGGGAAGATTGCAAATGGCAAACGTGATCTTGGGATGCTGCAACAGTTGTAAATACATGCCAGTTACCAAGCATCCAAATTTTGGTTGTATGACTGCAGGGACACTGCAATAGTCATAAGTGCAAAGAACAGTCATAAGTAACTTTTCTAGCATTATCACAATTTTGAACAGCCACTAAAGAAATGTAAATTCATTCTACAGTATTTGTATGTAAGTCTACTTGTGTGGTATTCCTATAAGCCCTATTGTCCATTAATTTACTGGTTCCCTTGTACTTATACCACTTCTGTGGTGGAGAGGTCTGCCTCTTCATAGTACAGGGATCATAAGTGAGCAGAAAATCCAATGGGCTAAACACTATCCCTTTTCCACCTTGCCCTTCATCCTAAGAACACGAGCTGAATGATAAGCTCTGATAAAGATGGAGCAGAAATCTCTCTTCTACTTTCTGACATTAAGGTTGACTCAGCCTTCCATCCTTCCGAGGTCAGTAAAATGAGGACCCAGATTGTTGGGGGTAATATGCTGACTCTGTAAACTGCTTAGAGAGGGCTGTAAAGCACTGAAGTGGTATATACATTTAAGAGCTATTGCTATTAAAGATTTATTAAATAGTGGTGTAATGTAAAAGTAGTATTATTTATAAAGTCCCTTGAAACAACATTTTGTCTTATTCTTCTAGGGACACAGCTGGGCAAGAACGGTTCCGGACAATTACAACTGCTTATTATAGAGGAGCAATGGTAAGTTCAATTCTCTAAAGTACTGATGAGCGTTAACACTAGATAGGGTCCCTCAAAGTCTCTTCCAATCTGTTAAGATAGTGGTTCTCAACTTTTCCTTCACCACAAATCCCTTTTAAATACCTTTTGTGGCCACTGACCATGGCCATGGACCCCTAAAACTTAACTCAAGATTTAAATCATAATATTTCTTCAAGGATTAGAGGACTTCCTGTGATGACATCACAGGCATCCCAGATGTCTGCAGACCACAGGTTGAGAACCACTGTGTTAAGATGTTTCTTCAGTAAGAATTTGGCTGTAGTCAATGTTAAAGCTTTTATATATAAGCTTGCTGTTTTTTGTTGCTTGTTGCTTTTCTTCCATCTTTTCTAAATGCTTAGTGTTTAACTTATTTACCATAGTGTCATTTCTTTCCTTTTTTATGTTTCAACACTGATTCCCTATTCTCTTTTACATCAAATTTAAATCAGAGTTTTGAATGCTTTCCACACATTTCTCATCTGCCTACCCTCCCTCGCCCCCATCGTCATTAGTCAGATCAGTCTCCTGCTTTTTTCCACCAAACTGTTCCTTGGAAAACCTTTCTCAATGTTATCAGCTAAGTTATATCAGTTATCTTGTTTACATTTACATTGTCAACTCCCTATAAAATTAAAGAAGCAACAAGCTACTTTTCTGTCTCATTCTTTAGGGCATCATGCTAGTGTATGATATTACCAATGAGAAATCTTTTGAAAATATTCAGAACTGGGTCAGAAACATTGAAGAGGTATGTTTTCTTTATTAAAATGTATAAAACCTATTGTTTTTTTAAGTGTCAGATTTGAGTTATTTCTCACAGGTCAAAGTGTAGGGGGAAAACCCTGCATTTGTCTCCTGATATTTGGGAGATACTAACACTTAAAAAGTAAAGTTTATACTTGACAGCATATTGTTCAAGGCTTTACTTCTTTCATTGACAGATAAGAGAATTGATTAAAGCTAATGGGAAAAGTCTGTGTCTTTCTAAGACCCTCAAGAACAGTCATCACTCTGGGTAGACAATCTTCCTAAATAGATTTTGGTGACCTGATGACTTTCAAGATTACGAAGTCTAAAACTTAATCAGTAGAACCAGTAGTTGGTTTGGAATTTTGGAGATGTGATTCTAAGATAATCTGAATATCACAAGGTTGTTGAAAGCTAGATGAACATACAATCTTTCTTTCCATAGGCCAGCTTCCTATTTCTTCCTAAACGTTCAGCCTAATGATGTCTGTTTGATTGCTGCAGAAAATTGCACTGTGGAACATTATTAATACTTTGCAGTCTAAATAAAATTCCATTCTTATTTAGCACAGCACCAAATTCTGTGAGAAATCTAGGTCTGATAGTGACAACATTCCCTATAACTAGATTTCTTTTGTAAATTGGTGGCATGGATAAAATGAGTACATGAAACAAAGAGATGAAGTAGTTGGCCTTTAAAATCTCTTATAACTTTAGGATTATATAAAATTTGTCTAATGTAGACAAAGAAGTTGTCTACATTAGCAATTTTTCCTTAAGCATCAAGGGAGGAATAATACATAAATGCCAATTATGTTGTGATAATATAAACTAGTTGTATTTTCTTTCTCTTAGCATGCATCTCCAGATGTAGAAAAAATGATCCTTGGAAATAAGTGTGACATAACCCACAAGCGGCAGGTTTCCCGAGAGCAAGGTGAAAAGGTAAGGTTGATCCTAGAATCTAGAAATTCAGAGGATCACATAAAAAGCAATAAATAATTACCCAGCTCTATACAGGTAGTCCTCAACTTACAACCACAATTGATCCCAAAATTTCCATTGCAAGACAGTTGCTCAGTGAATTTTGCCCCATTTTGCAACCTCTGTTTTTACAGTTAAGTGAATCACCGCAGTTGTTAAGTTAGTAACACGGTTGTTAAGTGAATTCGACT